TGCTATAGCTCTTAAATTGTCTGCGGAAGTTATTGGTCCTTCATTAACATGGATTTATAATCTTTCAATCAAAACTGGGATATATGTTGATGAATGGAAAAAGGCGTGGGTAATGCCAATTTTTAAATCTGATGATAGACAAAGATGTGAAAATTACCGACCGATATCTATATTGCCTATTGTCAGTAAAATACTAGAGAGATCGGTTTTCAACCAGATTTATAAGATTTTGAATGATAATTCGCTGCTATCTAAACATCAATCTGGCTTTCGGCCTAAGCATTCAACTTTAACAACACTCATTCAAATGTGTGACACACTTTATGAGAACATGGATAATGGTCAGTTGAGTGGTGTTGTTTTCCTTGATATTAGAAAAGCTTTTGATTCTATTGATCATACAATTTTATTGCAAAAGATGAATGATCAATTTGGAATAAAAAATGTGGAACTGGATTGGTTTAAGTCCTATCTAACTAATAGAGAGCAAGCATGCATTGTCAACGGTGCAATGTCATCACCTAAAACGATTGTGTGCGGAGTTCCGCAGGGATCAATTCTGGGTCCCTTGCTGTTTTTATTATATATTAATGATTTACCCGAATGCCTCGAAAAAACTTCGCCACACCTATACGCTGATGATACTCAAATTTCTACTTCTGCCAAAACTATTGAGGAACTTACTGAAAATCTAAATAATGACCTGAAAAAAGTCGGTGAGTGGCTTGCTCGAAATAAACTGCAACACCACCCAACTAAGACCAAATTAATGTATATCGGTTCAAAGTATAATACTGATACTATGACTTATGATATTCCAGTAATGATGAATAACCAATTCATAACTCTTGCTCATTCATACACATGCCTTGGGGTTAAACTTGATGAAAACCTTAATTGGCATGAGCATGTTGAAATGATTTGTAAGAAAGTTGGGGCCGGCATAGGAGCAATGCAACGAATTAAGCCATATGTTCCTATAAATACCCTGCATACCATTTACAGAGCTTTGATAGAACCGTATTTTGATTATTGTAGTCCATTATGGGACGTCTGTAACCAACAGCTGAAGATAAGCTTCAAAAGTTCCAAAACCGTGCAGCGAGAATTATAACCGGCGCCAGCTATGAAATAAGGTCTGCTGATGTTCTTCGATCCCTTGCTTGGGAAAATTTAGAGATAAGACAACGTACAACTAAATCCACATTAATGTATAAAGTCCTGAATGATTGCGCTGGGCCGAACTTGAAGGATGCTCTAACGAGAAGGGACCTTGTTCAAACCAGTTATAATCTTCGCAAGTATAGCGGAGCTAAATTGTGGAATAGTCTTCCTTCTGATGCGAAGCTAGCGCAATCAATTTATTCTTTTAAAAACTGCCTGAAAGATTCACGCTAACATCTTCTAATATACTGTATATGCATGCTTTAGAAATATGGGTCACACCGTTTGGAACTTAATTCGTGTATCGTAAATATATAATTCTTTATTCTTTTCTATATCATATTTGTAATTTTTAATAGTAACAGACGTCCCTCGTGAAAATCAACAAATCGTTGACGAGGCTAACGTCTTTAAATAAAGTTTACATACATACATACATACATACATACATATATACAAACATATAGAAGAGGTTAATATATTTACAAAAAAAGACTTTGTTCAATATTATGAGGTATTTTAACGCCTTTAGGCAAACGTCGAATGGCAAGCGATTCTTTTAAAAGTAAAAAGTATCAATGATCAGATCTGTCTATACACTCTTACGGTTAACGAGGCGTTTGTGCATTTTCTGTGTCTTTCCAATAGAAATCGTCTTCCAATTATTAACAGCTTTAAAATTTGCTGGGGTTGTCCAACTTTTCAAGCGAAGAACCATCTGTTCCGTTTCAAGTTGGATGGTGTATGCCGTATTTATATACTAGCTATACTAGAAATACATGCATGCAGTAATCCCTCGCCTGTATTTTTCAAACATTGATTTAACAAGTATCACTAATTGATCAACACAGTGTTGCCATGGCAACACGATAATTTTAATTTTTATTTTACTTTAGTTCAACCATTGGTAGCCCAACAATCCGCACGCCGTGACGTATCATGCAGTGTACATTGTACTACTGCATGATATGTCACGGCGTGCGGATTATTGGGCTTATTGGGATTATTATAGCTTTTAACTATTTAAGAATGAATTTACGAAATATGTACTGTTTGGTACAGCATGTTGTCCTGGGTTTTGTGAGCTTTGATTTAATGTAAAATTTAACCTGAATCGCTTCGTAAGATGTTTTGAAATGTTCATTTTAATAACAAAACTGCTTTGCTGATAAACTGCTTTTACTTCAAATTGTTAGTAATTTCAGTTAGGTCTTCAAATTAATTTGCTCTCCTTTATATTTTATCTTTTTTTCTTAAACTAAACAGGATAATTTAGGAAACTTACAGCTTCATTGAAAAGGAAAACAGCAGTGCATGTTTTACGCAATCATTTATTAAAGCAACAAAATTCGTAAACATTAAACGTAATTTTCCAAATCCTCAGTGTGCTTATCCCACTCCTGGCAAACTTTTGAGATCAGTGAGGAGGTCCAACCATGAACCGTAGTCACGAGCCCGCGATCATTGATGAACTTTAGACTTCCCTAATTAGTACCCTCGCCCCGGGCTAACACACAGAGGACTAGACTTGGGGTTGCGGAGAGTGCTCTTACCAATTTTAAACATTCATATCTTCTCCAATATTAATGCCAGGGTCATAAACGTTGCTGACTTTTCCTAGAATGTATTTGGGGATAATAAATGTCAGGTGCATGCAATTGTTCATTGGACTTCATGTTTCCATATCAAGCACATTTTGGTATCCATGTTGCTCAAACAACGTTTTCTTGTTTTAAAATAAACTAAAATAATTCAAATTGTATTTTTACTTTGTTGCTTTTGATTACCTTTAAATTAATGTCAGTCGCTTTGATAACGTCGTAAAGAGTTTTAGAATTCCAGTCGGAGGATCCAAGATGGCGGCTGGTTACAATCATGACGTAATTCGTACGACATCTGACGTCACAAAGTCATGATGCATACATAAACTTCTCACATCCTTGACGATCTAAGCACTCATCTACTTGGTGCCCTTAGTTCATGGCATTACAATTAATTAAGACAAGTCGTGCCTCTTGAGTTGTGAACGAGGGAGTCCAGCCATTATGAAACACGAAGTATCTGTGTTTTATTGAAGAAATAGTTGTTGTTTTTTTATTTATTTATCATTTACTGTATTGCTATATTGCTAGGAATCTAATATTGCAATCGTCATACCCGAGAATGATCCGAATCTTAAACATCGCGTTATTTATCGCCGGTTATCTTGGTCATTCCAGAGCGACCACCGGTAAGCATAGCATGTTCATCTCTAGACGCTGCACAATTTTATCTCTGTATCTTCGGTAGTACTCTATTTCTAGTTTTAATATATAGACTAGCTTCTCAACATAGACCTCCTATTTGGTTCTAGCTTTATAAATATTTATCCAAAGTCACTTAAACTCATCGTAGTACTATTTAAAACACGCGGTGACAGCCGAATTCTTATATATGGCTCGGACTACAAGTGTTTTAAGTGGCATAAAAACAACCCATCTTACGAATTCATTGGCGAAGTAATTTTAACCAGAAGTAGGTGGCAAAGTCACCTAACACTCGCCTGCACGTTTATTCCTCCCGAACAACTTAGCATAATAAACATCCTAAATGATGCCATAATATATTGCTAGGTGTTTTTCCAAGTGAATTGATATACAGTGTATATGCAAAGGTGTTTTCCCAAGTGAATAAAACCTCTTATCATCCATTTTGCCGTCAACGATTCACTTCATCTAGTGTTGTACCTGGAAACGGAAATGTGCATTACTATACCTATACCCTAGTAAATATATAAAAAATATGGAAAATACCCCAGAGCAAAATAAAATAGTATTTCATTTCCAAATGTACGATATAGCAGGAATTGCTCAACGCGGTGGGTTTCAGTCTTACATTAACAATCGTAAGCAGATTTGCAATGTGTTATTAACAATATGGTAACGGTGGTGCGACGTCATGTACCGCATGGGCCAGACTGGGAATGTTACTTTTTCTATTATACATCTGCTGTATATTTGATTTGCTTAACTTGAATCGTGAATCACGTGAATCACGACTCATATAACTTGAATCACGACTCAAGATATACCCCCATCAACACCCTCTATTGTATTATTTTTATACACTACACTTTCAAAATCAGACATTAAAAGGTTATCGTGCTTGTAAAATCTGTACTTTCTTGACAAAAATCTTGCTAATTTATGTAAAATAGGGTAAAATATTTATTTCAGAAAAAAATTACTCAAACCTTGAGATTAAAAAACGCGACAACACCGAAGCGCCCAAGATTGGGTACGATTCACTTGCAGATTCAGTTCATTTTATTGTCTTAAATTATCTAGTTCCTCAGTCAAAGCCTTTGTCCATGGCTGCTGCTGGATTTCAAAAGATTGCCAACAACACAGCTCAAGGTAAACTTTGGAACAATCATGTTGCTACTAGTGTCCTTCATCCCTGAAACTGGAATTGGCGACGACTCTCCGTGGAAGTAAAATGCATTGAAACTTTAAGTGGGGTATAACATGCAAATTATCGAATAACTTCAGTAACTTTTTAAGTTTTTTCTTAAAACGAACAGGTAAATTTACAGCTAGCCGCATTGGAAAGGAAAGCAGTGCATTGTTACGCAAAAAATTGAAGCATCAAAATTAATTCATAAACATAAACATTCAAAGCAAAATTACCTTATATTCCACGACTATTTCCCTAGTATATAAATTCTTCTTATTTCATGGAGACAAAATTGCTTGAAAGCTCGTTGTATGAAACGATTCTCCAAATATATGTCTTTGAAAACGGAATATTGTTTATCCCACTCATGGCAAACAGCCATATTTTCGAGATCAGTAAGGAGGTCCCCCATACACCCATGACACAATTTTAGACTTCGATAATGCTTTTCGTTCCTCTACATGATGTTGATAGCCAAGCGAAATTGGCTCGGGGATTAATAATTATAATAATCTGAGCACTAGACTACAGACAAGTTCTGTTTTGTTCCTCTTAGTGTTTCAGTAACAAATGAACCTGGAGTGCAGATCTTTGAGCCATGGATAGCTTGCAAGACCTAATTAACAGGAGATTGTTTTCTATGTTACGTAACACGCGCTCAAAGCTAATGAATATAATATACCACTTGTGGTTACGATTATGTCCACATTTTGTATTTTTTGATGCGTTTCTTAATCGCAAACTAACTTAATAAGTGTGTTTTAGAGCTTTATCTCCTTTTTAGATGTTTAATCTAAAAAGGAGATATTTAATTTTTAGTCGTGTAAAAAATTGATATTCGATGGTAGATACTTCTACTTTTTCACATATTTGACGCCTATCTCCATATATTTTGTCCCTCCATGCAAACGATCCCAGAATGCATTGTGATCTCTTTTGGGAAAAGACTAATTGCTGTAAATATTTGGCGTCAATTTTGCTGCATCAATGATAATTGACAATATATATTTAACTATTATTTTGTGTTTCTCAACCGCCAGATACGTTTGTTAACTGTGTAAACTACAAAATAAAGCTAAAACAAAGTAATTTTTGAGAGGAATGCCGAAAATATTTTAGATTTTAGGTCATCCCAACACACGACATTAAAAAAATGCCTCTTAATTTATTGGTTTGATTACCAATTGGGCTGCATTAAGCAGGAACTTTCTATGGCTATGCATTCATTTTTTATCATTTATCATTACTATAATGAAACTCTGAATACTGGACTCGGTGACACGATAGAAATCTAGGTGATTTCATGTCCAAATGCTCTTCTCATACGAATCCATATATAAGACAGCTTAATTACCGCAGAAATGAAAATATTTTCAGATATAGATATTTCGCATTACCCACCAGTGCTTGAGCAGTCTGTAACAACACCGATGTATTGTCACGCATTGATATGTGGTGAAGCTTCCTACCATTATGACTTGTACTCTTAGATTCGTGATTTCAAATTATGTGACCCAGGCATAAAAAAGCACTTTCGGGCCATGAAAAACCACGTCCCTCCATTTTAAGTATGGTTTCATGGGCAGCTATATCTGTAATAAGAAGAAAACATGCTGAAAAACAAAATTGGCAATTAACTGTACTGTCATGGCAGCATTATGATATGGATAGGACATTATACCGAGGGACAGAGGATGAGTTGAAATCACATGACAGAAAGGTCAGAACGTAATTTATGGCCATCCATGACGTACTACATTCTTGACCTTGAAGCTTATTTCTCCAAATATTTGTTTAGTATAGGTAATAGCGTGGTTTCGAGTGCAATTTGGATATAACATGCACGAGTGAGTTTTTCAAAGACCTCAAAATAGCACGAGTCCAAAGGACGATTGGTTGATTTAATCAACACAATTTTTTTTCCACCAATCAGATCAGTTTGTTACAGATTTTTGCACTGTGATTACAGAAAATTACACTACGATTACAGAAAATTACACTGCTGATTGGGATTAACTGCACTAAAATCAACCGATCACAGTCGAGTAATATCTTTATGTGTATTCCGAGCTTCCACAATGATCAATCACTGTTAAAGTCATAACTAACAAGTTTAATTCCCTGCAATTTTTCTTCAGGATATGTAGCTGCTCAGTTGAAACCGTTGCCCATCGCCACTGTTGCAATACAAAAGTCTGCAGCCACCCCTGTTCAAGGTAAGGATTTGTAAAAGTTATACTTACACTACAAAACAATGAGAACGAAACGAATTCTTTAGTAAGTCTTTTTTTCTGTATTAAAAAATTATGAAACAGGAACAATTTCTGGGCAGACAAATTGTTTTTATTTAAACTTCTCCGGAGTGAAGATTGCCTGCCAACCCCTGTGCCACAGATATTCATGCTTGTTATTAATATATAGAGATAAAGAACATACCAAAATAATGGACTATATATTGAGAAAAATGGTGTAGTGTTGGTTATCCAAGTATTACCATTAATATTATACCTCAAATTCAAATTGTCCAATGAAAAAAACATCATTTGTACCACGTGACAATGTGATTTTTTTACGGTATTTCACTCATTTGACAAATTCATGATTTCGCAACGCAGCGTGAGATACTATAATATCCCTCGGTAGATCCACCGGGGGATATTATAGTATCTCACGCGTTACGCGTGGACACCATGCTCTGAAACAATATGACGTTCTCCAGCTGTTGTTTGTAATTAATGTAATTTCATACACAAGATTTATTAAGTTGAGCAAAGATTTTCAAGACGTTTGTTATCTTCAACGATCCAAACGATACATGCTCAAATATTTTAACGAGAAAACATCAAAACTCAGATATACATAAGAAATTAAAAATTATATTCGCTTCAAGTTTTAAAGTTTATTCTGAACTTGGTGCCTGGTAGGTTCTTTAACTTTCGGTATAATTCTGGGTATAATATATCATTTATAGTCCCTCCGCTCGGGAGATTCGGCGGAATATTACCCTCAGTGATATTTTCCTCGGGGCAAAGCCCCTCGGAAAATATCATCACTTCAGGTAATATTCCGCCGAATCCCCCGAGCGGAGGGACTATAAATGATAAGTATCCATTAGACTTTGGCCTACCACTGTATCTCATACAATATTGTATCCGCGGCCAAACAGTATCCATCATATTCCTTACCAACTATTAAATAGTCTCAATTTATTCTTGCCAACACAATAAAAAAACAATATGTGTAACGGTTGTTTTTTCAGATGTTCACATGCAGTACTTAGTTAAACATTGTGGGGGAAAATTAAGAGATTCCATGTATTTCGCTTTTGAATACAATGGATACTGTAACTAATCATGAAAGCTGCTGATATGTATGCCATTTCATTACTCATGATTTTACCTATAGTGCACAGGTTTCGACATCCAATGAAGAAACTGACGGTGCTATGTTGCCTCACAACTAATTTAAGTTCTAGTTCATGTTTATGTCTGTGTTAACTGCATGGAATGTGTTTTTATTGGATATTCAAGGGTAATCCAAAATGAAAGTGCAAGGTCGTTTCACCATTATTCATTAACGAATTCCCATCTAAAATTTTACTTCAGTAACAATGTTTTATTGATGGGGCTGTTCGCGTGCAAACAATGCTGGTTTGCATTGCAAGTTTGTCATTTACCTCACATACATGAAGCTATCCCTGCTAAAGGAAAGACGAAATTCCCCGACATGTTCTGGAAATAATTAAAATTGTATTTATTTTGCAATGTGGATAATTTCAGAAAACATCCCCACCCTTCCCCTCCTACCAAACCCACTCCCTCGACAAATTTTAATTTTAAAAATTATTTGGGCCTGTGAAGAAGCAGTGATGCCAGCTCAAACTAGTTGGGCAGGGTCCCACAACACTGACAACGCTGGTTTAGGTTTATATAGGTTTATAAAAGCTTTATTGACATGACCTTAAATTACATGTATTACTAAAGCATATATAATAATCTAAATACAAATATCTAAATACAGAGCACAAAAGGTAGAAATACTAATATATAAAGTTCTTTCTACAAGTGGTAAGAAGTACGTACATTACAATAACTATAGTCAATCCCAATAAGAAATACGAAATACCAAATAAGAAGATCTATCCACAAGATATTGGAAAAGTTTTCATTTAACTTTTTCAGATTAGTGAAATCGTAATTTAATTAGTTGTCAGCAATCCCAATTTCAGGGCATCTACTTCTTTCCATAAAACAGCAAAACATATATTTCGACAGAGATAAAATAATCGCCTGTTCTGTATATTTCATTACATTACATCTACTAATTATGTCTGTTCTGTGACGATGATGCATTTTTTCTGAGAATATTTGTGTAAAAGTTTTCTGTTTGGTTGACGTAGGCTTCACATGAATTGGCAAAGTGGTTTTCATCTTCCACTTTTCCTGACTGGCAGATTTTACACAGTCGTTCTTCCCTTGGTATTTTTTGATAGCACGAACATGCAGCAACAAGCTAATAAAAACATTTATTTATACCAATTACAAGTTACATAAATGAGAAACACAACATTACAGATCTAGATATTACAAGAACAATTTACAATGTGAATTTGCTGTATTAAAAAATAATAAGGCATTCCGCAGCTAGAATAGCACAAGCTTTCGAGCTAGCCATGCACCGTAACCGGTTATAAACTTTATATTAACATATTCAATTAAGATTTCATGCAAGACCTTCATGCCGAACAGAGGGAAATGCTTTTTTGAAGTCAACAAAGCATGCATAAATTTTATTGTTTTTGTTTTGCGTGACATGCATGCTTATCAATTAACGTTTATAGGGTGATAATATGATCGGCTGATATGTGTCCTGATTGAAATCCAATTTGTGAATGGTGAACTAAATTATTTTCTTGTGTGAAACAATTCAATCGTTTATTTAGAATTAAACAGAATTTGCCACTTCAACTTGTTACGCAAATTCCTCTGTCGTTTTTAGGATCCTGTTTGTCTCAAGATTTAAAATAGTAGGGGTTAGACCTTCACACCATTTATCAGGAAAAACTCCACACTCTAGAAATAGATTAAACAATTTATGATAGCCTCTAAGGAGAATGTTCACACTAGATTTTATCATTACGTTCCTTATCCTGTCAGAGTAGGCAGACTTCTCATGCTTTAGTTTTTAGCTACATTCACTTATAATGTATTATTTTTTATCAGTCAGAATGAAGCAATCTGATTGGCTGAGGAGCTTTTAAGAGCGGGCCGGTTTTTTGCATCCGGCCCCCTCTGAAACGCAACTGCCCGCTGTGAAATGCAACTGCCCGCTTCGATTTTACGTTTTCACGGCCAAAAATGAGGAGTGAAACAATTTTTAAACGAAAAAATCTCCCCAAAACGTTTGAAAAACGTAGCCTAACGACAGTCAGAATTGACAATATTTTGAGAGAAATGCGACTGAAAGTTGGAAAGTTATTTGAGATGTATAAAACTTACGCGGAGAAAACTACATATTTTTTTAAATGCTCATGTATTCGGCCACTTCAAAGCGAAAAAATACAGCTTAATTAAACAGATAATGAAAAGAAATGTTTTCCCATTTAAAAGAAGGTTTATAAACTACAGCAGTGAAAACAAGTCACGAATTTATTTTCTACCCATTTGTTTCAGGCATTTTTCATGCACTGATATATATATATATATATATATATATATATATATATATATATATATATATATATATATATATATATATTTGAATGGGTGTGAGGTACCATGTCTGGATAGTGTATGAACTTGGCTTTAAGATTTCTTCAGACATAAAAATACACAAAGTATATTTTCCAAACGTTTCGCCTTTTACGGCTTCTTCAGTGGAACTGATGTTTTTTACAATAATATTTCCTCCTATTTATATAAAACTCTTTTTTAGAGTTTTATATAAATAGGAGGAAATATTATTGTAAAAAACATTCCACTGAAGAAGCCGTAAAAGGCAAAACGTTTGGAAAATATACTTTGTGTATTTTTATGTCTGAAGAAATCTTAAAGCCAAGTTCATATATATATTTATATATATATATTGTAAACAAAGTAAAAGTCTGTGTTTAAAAACACTTTTTTCAAGCATATTATCGTGAAACGACCAGAAAAATACAAAAATATAAAAATAGCATACCTTATTCATTGACCTTTTAGTAGAAACGTTTTTATGTGGTTTTGATCGGATCTGAACATGAACCCGTCGTTGTCAGAAGCAACTGAATTTGTCAAAGCCAAAACGCCAGACTTTATTCCAAAGTTTTTCTGCTACCATGTTCATGTATAAAAGCATGTAAATTTACTGGAACTATACGTCTTTTTGTGTGTTTCTTGGCAGATTTCATGTTCGATCGTGTTTTATATCTTTCAACATTTCAATTTTTGTCAGCCTCGCTTTAAAAATACACAACTGCACTGATCTCAAATTAGTTCGCAAGCAACACTGGAATTTTAATTAATTTAATTTTTACATCTGATAAACAATAATCACGTTATTTACCGGCAGGGTCTGTCCGGATGAGAGAAACTGTGCCCTCGGTATTGAAAACGCCCCTCACCCTTTCGGCCTCGGGCCGTTTTCAAGACCTCTGGCACAGTTTTTCTCATCCGGACCTCGCAGTCAGTAAATAATATATATGTCTTCTGTGATAGATTCATCAATGGCAATATTGTCATCGATGTTTTGTCAAGGAGTTCTACATTTTTTTTAGGATATGTGGTTATTTGGGTCCTAATTAAATTGGATAAGATGCTACCAATCCCTGTTGACTCGATAGCTCAATAGGTAGAGCGGCGGTCTAGATACCCGAAGATGCGAGTTCAAATCCCGCTCGAGCCAACGGATTTTTCATTGGTCGATTGCAGCATAGACAATCCAGAAGACAACTGTCTTCTGTCTTCTGTCTTCTGGATTGTCTATGATTGCAGTGTCAGATTAATATGAAACTAGTTTTTCGTATCTTTGAGGATGGTTCTGAAATAAAAAGTTATGTTTTATGTGTAGATTTTCAAAGTGCTATATCCATTTTTGATTGGTCATTTAATGTGTTGAACTAGGAAAGAGATCAGCACAGTTCTCACTCATGTTTTTAGGTTTTACCAGAATGAATATGTTTGACGTCCATTACCGCCATTCAGAATTACTTCAAACACTATTGTCTATTTTTCGCCGTAGCCGATACTAATTCCCCAAAGTTACAGTTATAACCATTTCAGCGGTCTTACAGTCAGCCGTCAGTGTGAAAGGAAGTGTACTTTGTGTAATGCATGACAGATATCTTGTCTCTACCCAGACTTGTCTTCCTGTAATTTCAATGTCTGAACAAGTCGGGAGACAAAGAGTTTCAAAAACAACTTCCCGCGGCTTGTTTCAAGATTTGCACCGGCCGGCGAGTGACGTCTGATCTATGTAATGATGTTTCAAACTGTTCTATGACTCTAGGTGCCACCTTAATTTCCCTCTATTAGAGAGCCAATCAAATTGCAAATAATTTATACCCCAAATAGTTGTCTACATAATATACAAAGTGAGCTCTATTTCCACCCTTGCAACCTCGCGCTGCGCAAAACGCGAGACAGAAAACACATAAGACAGAAGAGCGTTGGTCAAATGTATCAATGTCCACACGTGAATTAGGGGGACTTTGGTACACATGTGACTGTAGAAACATCCGTCTGCATGTATAATCACTGATAGAGGCAATCGAGGGAGAGATTTCCATTCCAAATTAAGTATTTTATAAATACACAAACATCCAGTGCAAATAATCTGATTTAACCAAATAATGAATTGTTTAAGGTATGCTTCCGCTCGACATCACTTTGGTCTATTTTTCCGGTCGCCCCGATCCTCATTGGCAAGTACAAGCAAACCATCCAAAATACCAGAAAATCCGAGAGATGTTCAACAGTGCAGTGAATCAAGAATTAGCAGCTTTGCCGGAACAAATGCCGTCACAGCTTGGATATAGAGGCTTTCTTGTGCGTGACAGCAACGATCAACTTCCAAAGTTGATTCTTGGTACAACGACGAAAGAACTGCAGCTGCTATTACTCGGTACCATCCCTTCAGATGCCATACCACAAGCCCTTGTGGGCATCATTGCGAAAACAATCGAAGATGGGGGCGTTTCGCCGATTGGAGCAGAGTCCGAAACACCTGGAACGAAACGTGCTCCTAAATATAATGTGCTAACACAATGGAAGTGGAATAATTGGTTTGTTGTAACTAAGAATAACTGTTACAACTATGCCACTAACAAGAGGACCTCCACCAATGCTCAACCAGGAAGAAAACATGGAGTAAACGTGAAAAACAATTTTAGCGAAGACTTTGGCAAAGAAGTAATGAAAGCGGCTGTAAAGGATGGTTTGACAGTTGTAGGAAATTTTGAAACCCGTTTAAACATAGATGTTCCCACAAGAAAAAGTTTGGAATTGCTGCCCTCTCAGCACCTCGTCGCCCTATTTGCGTCAAATTCAGGTAAGTAGCTGGCGAATACAACCGTTACAACCATCACAACCCTCACACCACAGAGGCACCATAAGTCTCTTTTCGAAATTCTCTATTTAGACTTAAATGTTCGATTTTGGATGATATTTCACCTGTAACAACACCGCGGAAAAATTTCTGCCCATGCGTAGACATTTAGAAAAAAATGTCGAGAAATATAAATGCAAAATTGTAACAAAAACATGGCTATTTAAGGTAAGTGAAACAAACAAAAAAAAACACTAGACGGAGAGTTTAGACATTAATAAAAAGTTTTCGAACATTTAAAATCTAAAAAGAAACACAATTTATATTAAGAATTATCGTTTTGGACCGGGAGTCGTATAAACGTTTCTTGAAAACTATCAAAGAGTTAAGCATTTGCAAACGCTTAAATTGTAGAGTAAACCATTACCCTTAAATTTTGTCAACGCAAAAATTATACATGCTACGCAAGAAAAGTTTTTGAGAAAAATGTGGATCATATGAACCTACGAAAAACATCTCTGTATGATTCAGGTAAAGAATTTCTTCTACAATGAATTTATAGACATTCACCTTTTGTTCGTTTGCATGCACAATTCTACCTCTTGCACATATAGACTGTAATTATTTCTAGTTTTTATGTTGTCACATTCATTATTTCGCTTGCGTTCTCACAGAAAAGCAAAACATCGAAGTCGCTCCTTGTCGCTTCCATTTTGAGTTTTTGATAAACTCCGGAATACTGACACCACGTTCAGAAGGCAAATTTCAGTAAGGTTGACGCATGCGCAGACGTTTTACCGCGGTGTTGGCCGTGACACTTTGGTTGCAATCGGATAAACTTTTTCCTGCTAAAAATGGTTGTCGTCAAATTGCCAATACCATGCCAGCTCCCAGTTGACCAAAAATGTCCGTCTTATAACTTCGCGACTAGGCTTTTACATCCGGTCTCCGTGAAGGCAAGCGGAGATGAAGCTGGGTACAATTTCTGTAAAAAACATCGTCAAGTGATTTGTATTTTGGAAACGTCTTTCAGCAGCTTAAGATTGAAAATGTCTAATGTGTTGGCACAAATTGCAACAATTTAGTATTTTTTGGCATTGACGTCATTGGTGTAAATATGAAAGGAAAATTCAAAAGAGGTGAAATATAGGATCTTTTCTAGTTTTCCAATATCTCAATTCATTGTTGAGATATATATTCATACTTATTTCACTCCTCAGAAAATCAATCCATGTATATCTCTACGTTTATATAACTGACTACATAAACCAACGGAAAACGCGTTTCTTGAGCGGCATTTGAATTCGCATCTGGTTTAAATGCCTCCGATCTATCTGTTAAGCTATCGGGTCTGCTGCGATTGCTGGTGAGTTGTATCCACTCAGCTACAATATTACTGGAAGACGTACGTGCTCGGCATGAAGTGTTGCCAAAAACATGTCGGATTTCGACGCCATAATGACGCCATCTGGTTCCTTTTGCTCATGGTATTACCGCTGAACAAGGCTCAATTTTGAGCCCGCTACAATTTCCACGCTCCCTTGGTTTTGCACTTCGACCATTGTTTCAAAGATGTGCATTTCGTACTACAAACAAAATAAATGACTTGTAGAGAAATATTGGCATAGACGATATTCGAAGCCAGTTGAGACGAACTGACAGGTAAATATTTCACAGTCCAATGAGTTCACATTCTCGAGAACAAATTAATTCCCGAGCCAACGGCGCGGAGCACCGTTCCGGGCGTAAGCCAGGGCCGAAGGTACCAATTCCGCCCGGCTATTTACACCCGGGAAAACGAAAGCATTGGCGAAGTCTGAAGTTCATCAATGGGTGCATTATAACGAAATTTGCATTATAACGACTGCACGACGACAGTGAAATAGCAAAAATTTCTTGATTTGATGATTTCGTGCAAATAAATTTCATTTTTGCAAGATTTTGTGAATTTCAAAAGCTTTTTAAGAAAACAAAGGCGGAAGAATTGTTAAAAGAAGAGAGTAAAGGCACCAACGTTAACGAAAGTAGGTTTGTTTTAAAAATTGATGTACTTCTCGCTTTAGATTTTAAATGAAAAAGACAGTGACTTGTCATCTTCATATCGTTTCTTTAAAATAATAATAATAATGACTTTATTTACGTGTCAATGTATTTAGTTTTAACACTCTAGTTGGGGACACTATTTAGACTTAAAACTGTGGCAATTGATACACCAGGCGGAAACCTTAGTTTAAAGATAAAGACCAGAGCCCAACAAATAACTTTAAAACCAAACATAATAAAAGTAAGAAATTTATTAGCTAACGTTTCGTTGTTTGCAATACAACATCTTCAGAGCAATCTAAATGGATTTACAGAGTATGGTATATATATTTACAGAATAATGGTTAATTAATATTACGAAAACGGTTACATAGTTTGAAAGAACAAATAAATAGAAATAAAGGAAAACAACTTAATCAGTAACTAGTTAATTAGTAAAGATTAATGTTAAGTGCATATGGTTAGTATAGTTTTGGTTATTATAATATCACATATATAACTAAAACTAGAAAATACATGCATGCAGAAACCCTCGCCTTGCTGACAAACAGACAAAACCATTGTATTTTCCGAACATGAAGTATCTGAAGTAGTTGTCATGGTAACACGATAATTTTTTAAGAATATTCTTACAAATGAAAAATCGCCTAAAAAATATCACTTTTAATTACCAAATTATTAATTTGCCAACATATATATGTTAGGTATGTTATTATACGTAATATAAGCCTCAATTTAAGGTAAAATTCAACCACAAACGCTTCGCAAAACGTTTTAAAGTCACTAGTGTTCTTTATAAAACTAAACTGACTTTTAAAATGGCTTTATCGATAAACTTTGAGTTTGCAATAAAATGACTTCGAATTCTCGCTTGCAAATAACTCTGCTTTCTTTTTTATTTAAAAAATTCAATATCATAAAAAAGGGAATCAATATTACTAAAGATACACTGAAATAATATGCTGTCTTGTTTAGTTGTTTCATATATGCAAAGGCCGTCGGGTTTTAAATTAAATCCATTATAAAATCAATATTTAAAACAAAGTTACCTTCGTTAACGTTGGCTCACTTCTTTTAGCCGATTCTTTCGCTGATTCTTTCTTGAAATTTACAAAATCTTGCGAAAATGCGAGCGAAAATGAAATATATTTGTGATATTTGCAAGAAATTTATCAATCATCAAATCAAGAAATGTTTGCTATTTAGCTGTCGTCATGCAGTCGTTATAATGCAAACTTTAAATTGGACCAATCAGTTTTCGCTATTCATGACAGTCCGCCACATATTTTGAGATCAGTGAGGATGACCACCCATCGAAACTTCGTTGGTGAGCCAAGCCCGCGATATTTGATGAACTTTAGACTTCGCTAATGCTTTCGTTTCCCCGGGTGTAAATAGCCGGGGGGAATTAGTACCCTCGCACGGCGCTTCGCGCCGTCGGCTCGGGGATAACTCCAGAGGGGTTGATCTAATAATTATTAGCATTCATTAAGGACCGGGTTAAGTTAAGAAATTAATAGACTTTCACGGATAAGAAGATCCCACTAAGAAGTGCCTGATGATAGGATTTTGAAATCAGAAGCGGAGACTGGGTGTTTGTGCATGTGTTTGTGAACGAGTATACTGGGCATGCAGGTTGAGATAGAGCGTTCTTTTCCAGTCAAAGGCGAGACCCCCATATGCTCTGAGATACGTTTGTGTATGTGTCGGCGTGTTTGGCCAACATACAATGCGCTACAACATGTGATCTCAGGACAATCCTATAATCATGGAAATCTTGACAGGATTTATAACACCAAAGACAAGGTCCATACATGTTCCAAGAGAATTGTTTACTTCGGCCTTCCTTTCACTGCACATAATGGTCTACATTACATATCCGTTCACAGCTTAGTAAAATTCTTGCTTCTGCTTATCCACGCATTTCCATACGTGTTATTTTCTGTCCCTCTTGTCGCCTTTCTAGTTTCTTTCCATTTAAAGACATGATTCCCATTGTCCTGAGATCACATGTTGTGTATCAGTTCACGTGTCAATGCTGTAGTGCATTGTATGTTGGCCAAACACGCCGACACATTCACACACGTATCTCAGAGCAGATGGGAGTCTCGCCTTTGACTGGAAAAGAACACTCTAACTCAACCATCTCTACATTAGTATACTCGCTCACAAACACATGCACAAACACCCAATCTCCGCTTCTCATTTCAAAGTCCTATCATCAGGCACTTCTGAGTGGGATCTTCTTATCCGTGAAAGCCTATTAATATCTCAAATTAACCATGATGTCCTTAATGCTATTATTAGATCTACCCCTCATGAGTTATTTTAGTTGTGTAATATTAAACTTAACGATACTAACCATGCACTTAAGATTAATCTTTATTTATTAACTAGTTACTGACAAGCAGGGATCCCAGAACGATAAAAAGGCAAGCGGGGCAAACGCACACCAAAGGGCACCTCTATAGACCCCAGTAAAGATATAAACCTACTAGAAAATACATGCATGCAGAAACCCTCACCTTGCTGACAAAACCATTGTATTTTCCGAACATGAAGTATCTAAGTTGTCATGGTAACACGATAATTTTTTAAGAATATTCTTACCATAGATATAGGAGACCTAGATTGCTGACTCTAATGTTTTCTATAACGCACGAGCGCTAGCGTGGCACTCATGAGCATTCAAAATGGCGGCTCAACCGGGCAAAAATCATAGAGCGGGATAGGGAAAAAACATGTTTTTCGCATTTTGCGTCGTCCTACAGCTTCCGATCCCGTTCTATCACTTTATTTTGGCAAGAACCAACTGGTGTGAAGGTTTTGGATGAATATTTGTACAATTTAAGTTTAATAAAGACGAAATAATCGATCGCTAAATGTTATCTGAAAAGCATCACATAGTCGGTTGAGCAGTTTGAGACATTTTGTTACAGAAAATAAAGGTTTTGGTTCTTTGGGTGCTTTTTATCTCGAGGATCTCGGTTGGGATAAATAACAGGGAATAATATTGTGAAGTATTTTGAAGTTAAAACTTATTTTACTTGATTTATTTGGTCTGCTGGTGCGAAAATTCTGATGCTCTGTTTAGTGTGACTTTGACAACCTCCTTGCTGCTGCAGATGTCAAGGGATCTCAAATCTATATGGCCTGGACAGTGAAAAGTGATGAATCAATCAGGTTTGTAGAGAAAACTAGTGACAGGGAAAGTTTTCAATGGAAACTAGTTTGAAGAAACTGACTAATTTGTCTGGTATGCATCAAAAACCTTCACAGTATCTAGTTCTCTCCAAGAGACCTGATTGATTCATCATTGATAATCAAAAATAGATGGGACGGCATCTTCGTTTAGATATTTCTTGGATAAGTTGGATTGGACTTTTATTGATTGCTCTCCACAATCCGGTCAGTATAATCTATAGACTGCGGACTACAGACTGCAGACCGGACTGGGTACAAAATGCAGACTGGGGGTATAAAATGCAGACTGAGGATAAAATGCAGACTGGGGGTGAATTAGGGATATTTTACAAATTCCCGCCAAGCCATAGTCGAAATGGACGAAGACAGCGATGTAGAGGTATTGATATTATATGAATATTTATATTATTCTCATTCAACCGTAAAACTTGATAACTTTAACCATAGATGGTGGAAGGGAAGGATAGGAAAGGGGGGCCTGGGGCGAGAATATGTTATTGTTATGAAAATTTGGCAGTCACGTGATCTTAAGCCGACACAGAGTGTTGACAGATGCTTAAAATAATATAGTATCAGGTTACGATTCTGCGTTATTCGAAGTGTTTTCGAGTCGAATCTTCTGCATTTTGACGATGTATTTTGAAGAAGAAAGCTCAAGCAATGAAGGAGATGCTATGGAAGCGGTAGTGAGTACATTGATAGAAGAAAGCGACCTGAATATCGACTTGGAAGAGTGCGTTAACGAGGGAGTCGATGAGTGTAATCTCACTAAACGTTTTCCGTGTCGGCTTTGTTCGAAAATTTGTAGGTCGAAAGGTGGTCTTACTTTACATACAAGGCAAAGCATGGTGAGAAAACGGCCGTTACAAAGTCGGTTTCGCCATTGACTTCGGAGGTCGTTGGTGAAATCGTAGACAAAGCAACACAGTCCGTCGTAAAATCGAAATTGTATGGGGACGCAATGACGAAATTGTTTGGTGAAGCTGACCTGAAGGCATCTAAAGATCTTGTGAGGCATTTGGCAACTTTGTACGACCAATATTGCGAAAAGTTGAATAGAGATAAACTCTTAAAAAACTTTTACAAGCTTATGCCTGAAAGTGGGAGGATGTTTAAAACGGAGTCGAAGAATATGACAGATCGGAATATAATCTCATCATGATCCAAATCCCTGATTTACTCGTTGGCTTCTACAAGCGTGGAAATGTTAAAGAAAAG